TATTTTTTGAGCTAAAAATAAAAAATATTTATTAATAAAATTAAAAACTTTTATATATAAAAAAAATATATATTTTACTAATTAGAATTAGTAAAAAATTTAAGTATTGTATTATTTTTTATGATTATTATATATATATATATTAAATAATAATAATATAATTATTTATATTTAATTTATATTTTAAATAAATAATTAATAAAATAAAAATAAATATTATTTATTAAAATATAATAATATAATTAAAATAAAGAATTAAAAAAAATATTATTAATATAAATGTAAGATTATTTTGTTAATAATTATAAACAAGATAAATGTGATATGAACAGTTTTAATTTTTATAACTTATGATTATTTTTATTATTTAAAAGTTTTTAAATTTGAAGAAAAATTATAAAATAAATAGTATTTATTTATAATGAAAGAAATGAATACAAAAATAAATAAATTAATAATAAAATTTATTTTAAAATACATATGAATTGAACAGAATTAATTAACTTAATTTATATCTTTAAAGGATAACTAATTATAATTTAATAAATAATAATATAATAAATAATTGTAAATAATAATATAAATAATAAATAAGAATAAGTAAAAATATAAAGAATTTTTAAAAGAAATATCTAATTAAAAATATTAATAATCTAAATTAATAATTATGATATACATAATAATTATTTGCATAATAATATATTAAATCTAATATATTAAATACATAATAATTATCTGTGTATCCAGAATGAAATTAATCTTCAAGAAAAAATAATATAAAGCTAATCTATAATACATATAATGCAAAATAAAGATCTAAATTAAGAAAGATAATTAAATCAAAATTATTATATACCTCTCTACTTAAAATATAATATTCTCATTATATTTAAGTATATAATTTTTCAAAGATATTAATCTTCTTTATAATATTTTTCAAGTTGTTAAAAAATTTTCAAGTTATATTATAAAGAGAATAACTAAGTCATTTAGCAAGATATTAGAGTCTGCAATAATAAATTCTTTTGTCAAGAATATTTTTTATCTCATATTCTTCTTCATTATCTGATATAATGATTACTAATAATGATTAATATTTATTGAATTTATCATCTGAATTATACTTCTTTAATAATGAGATATAAAATACTAAATATAATTTTATATTTGTTAATAGTTACAGTTTGTAGGTAACAGAAGATATTTTGATGATAATTTTAAAGAGATCTATAAATTTTGATATAAGTAACTTAATTATTCTTTATTTATCTGCTGATGCTTTTATATTGCAAGTAAAGAGAAAAACTTTATTTTCAAGATAGAATTCTTTAAATTTTCTGTGTTAATTTATATATTTACTTTGCCTATCTTGTGCTTTTAGTAATAGATCTTTTACTATTTTGATCATGATATTTCAATACTTTATGAAATCTTGTGATACTACTATATTATTTTATAATAATAAAATACTAATTAATATATAAAATATTTATTCATAATCTAATTCAAAAGATGTATAATCTATTAAAATATTTTTGCTATTATTATAAGTGAATTCTATAGTTACTAAGTTCTTATCCTATTTATTCTGTTGATATATTACATATATTTTCAATATTTTTTTCAAGATTCTATTAAGTCTTTCTATTTGGCTATCTGTCTGAGAATAAAAGATTATAAATATAGTAAGTTTAATATTTAGTTATTTAAAAAGAGACTTCCAAAAGCAATTTATAAATTTTATATCTCTACCTGATATTATAACTATGGATAAGTCATGTAGTTTAAAGATATTTTAAAAAAAACTTTGTAATATCAAATGTTATTGTTATAATTATGATTAGTATAAAGTATATTCTTTTAGATAACTTATCTATAAATACAACTATTATATTATATTCAGAATTAATAATTAAAAGTTGAATTATAAAATCTATAGTAATATATTTCTATCTGTATTCTGAAATGATAAGTGGTTAAAGTAATTTTGAAGGTTGCTAATTACTAGATTTATTGCATTAATATGATTTATAATTGGTAATATATTTGTGAATACTTTTATTTAACTTTGATTAATAGAATTATTGAGATATAGCTATATATATTTTGTCTATTTCAATATATTTTGCTATTAATTTATTATAAAATTCAAATAAAATCTTTACTTTCAAGATCTTGTTATTTGAAATAGCTAGATAATTTGTATTTTCAAATATAATAATTTTTCTTTTAACTTAAAGTTTTTAACTTTAGTCTGTTGCTTTGGATAGTACTACTAAAGTTTTTCAAGACTTCATATATTTCTGCAAAATATTTATCTTCTTGATACTTCTTTATCAGATCTTCTTTATTAATAAGATTAATAATAATAACTGAGATATTTACTAGATGTGATTGACAAGAAAATGTAACTGTGACTATATTATCTTTATCAGATTTATATTTTACTTCAAAGTTACTGGCTTATAAGATTTCTAATCAGCAAGTCTATCTCTTGAAAAGATTGTATTGTGTTTTTATATATTTCAAGAAGGTATAATTTGTAATAACTATAAACTTTTACCCTTCAAGATATGACTTTCAGAGTCTAATAGTATGTACTATTATAAGTAATTCTTTTTCATAAATTAGATAGATCTGTTTAACTGGTGAAAGTTTTCTTAACTCAAAGATTATTAGTTGATTATCTTTGTCTTGATTTTAACTTAGTATAACTTTTATAGTAAAATCTGAGATATCAGTAATAACTGTAAATGATAATTTTAAACCTGATAATAATAAGACTAGTACTAATATGAAGTATTATTTTAGTTATTTAAAAGTTTATTACACTGTAATAAATTATTCATAATTTTTATCTCTATATAAAAATGCTATAAGTAGTAAGACAATTACTAAAAATTCTTTCACAATTTTTTGTAATAACTTGCTAATTCTAGAAATAAATAAAATTCTGATATATCTGTTAGTACTGGCCAATTTCTTATTATAATAATCTTTCTTCAATCAACTGAAATGCTATCTGTTAAAATAAAATATTCAAGATATTCTATATGCTATTATATAATATTATATTTCTTTTACTTGATATATAATTTATACTTATGAAGTATTTCTAAGATAGTTTGAAGATATTATATATGTTCTTTTTTTATCTTGTTATATATTAAAATATCCTCTAGATATATAATTACAAACTTATCTAGGTAATCATAAAATATATTATTTATTAATATTATAAAAGTTATAGGTATATTAGTAAGATTAAAGAATAGAACCAAGAACTTATAATATTTATAATAAGTTTTAAATATAATTTTATATATATCTTCTTCTGCAATATATATTTGATAATATTCTAAATATAGATCCAGCTTTAAGAAATACTTTAATTCTGTAAGTCTATTTATTAACTTATTAATTCTAGATAATGGATAGCAATTCTTGATGATAATTTTATTTAAAGCTTTGTAGTCAATATATTATAAGATTATTTTATTAATAGTTATAAACAAGATAAAATATAATATAAACAGTTTTAATTTTATAACTTATAATTATTTTTATTATTTAAAAGTATTTAGATCTAAAGTTAATTTACAGAACAGAAGATATATATTTATAGAAAATAAAATGAATATGAAATATAAATAATTATAAATAATTAATTAATTTAATAAAAGTATATATGATTGAATAGAATTAATTATCTTAATTTATATCTCTGAAAAGTAATTAATTATAATCCAATTATTAATAATAATATAAATAATAATATAAATATAATAAGAAAAAGAATAAATAAAATTATAAAAGAAAATTGAAAAGAAATTTAATTAAAAATATTAATTATTTAAATTAATAATATAAGTATATATAGTAATAATTTACATAATAATATATTAAATCTAATATATTAAATAAATAAATAATTATCTATATATTCAGAATAAAATTAATCTTTATAAAAATAATATAAAGCTAATCTGTTATACAAATAGTGCAAAATAAAGATCTAAGCTAAAGAGAGATAATCTAATCAAAATTATTATATTAAATAATAAAAATCATAAGTTATAAATTGAATCCATTCATATTATATTTTATCTTATTTATAATTATTAACAAAATAATCTTATAATTAGACTTAGATAATTATGAATTAATAACTTAAATATTATTAATCTTAAAAAATAATTTTTTTATTATTTTAATTAATAAGCTATTTAAAATATATATTTATTATATAGATTAACTTTGATATCTTGTTTTTCCTATATATCTCACTTTATTTTTTTAATTAATTATTATTTTTTCATACTAAATTAAGTTTTTTTAATCTTTAATAAAACTTAATTTTAGTTTTTATATTTTTTGAATTATTTATTTATTGTCATTATTATTATCTTACTCTCTTTTACTTGTCTCTAATTTATTATTATCTTATCTTTTTTTACTTATTTCTAATTTACTATAAGTTATATGATCTACTTTTTTTAACTTAAACTTATTATTTAATTCTCTAATTTGATCTTTTATACTTTATTTTAAAACAAGAAATATTTTCTATTATCTAATTAATTTTTTTACAAGTAGAAAAATTTTTTATGTATATATAATCTTATTAATTTAATATATAATTGATATTTGAATGATATTACAATAATATTATATAATTAAAGTTATATTATTATGCTAATAATTTAAAAAGATATAAATATATAAAAATTCTGATATTAAAATTGATAAATTTAAAGATAATGATAGAATGAATAATAGTAAAAATTTTAAAGAAGATGAAAATGATGGTAATGATCAAATTCAAAAACAGAGAGCTAACTTTTATTAATGTAGATAATATAATTATTTTGATACATTCCTATTATTAATTATTATAAATGCATTTACATTATAAAAAGATATATTATATTATTAAAAGATGCTTTATATTATTTTTATTCTAAAAATTATTCTATTCTCTCTTTTCTCCAATTCTTAAAATTCAATATGCATACTTGTAAGTTTTTTGATAAATAATAAAGAGCTTTACAAATAATTAATCTAGTTGGATTCATTGTAACTCTCTTTACACTTTTATCATGTGTCATGATGCTTTAGCTGACACTGTAATCAGCTGTTACTAATTTAGGGAATTCGACAAATTTTAGTTATAAAGGGGACGGAGAGCTGTGAGATCACGCGAATACGTGATCCGGAACCAACTCATATAACTTAAATGATTGATATCTAATTGCTGATTGGTCTAAAATAGACCGATTGGCATCTGAAAATAAAATTCATTAATAAAAGTAATCATTTTTAAACTTAAATAACTTTAAAAAATACTAAATAATTAAAAAATTATCATTTTCATTTATATTTGAATATTACCCAAATTAGAAGACATTTAGAAGTTATCGTTATACAAAATTGTTTGAAATTACCCGTCGATCATCGCCCGATTCCAGACTTTTTGTCTACTGTACGTGTGTAAGCATAAAAATAACTCACCTGATCGAATTTGTCCAATAGTGATGGGGTGTGCTGCGTCCAATTAGAAAATTAGTACATGAACAAAATACATGTGCATGTTTACCCACAACATAAATACGAAACTGATTTTGTAAATTTTTTAATAATAAAATGGATAACGATAATAACGATAATAACCATAATAACCATAATACGATTACCGAAGATTTAACCTCCGTTGACAATAATAAAAACACAGACATTAACCTTATAAAAGAAGCATTAAACAAATTATTAGACCTGAAAAACTCCGGACAGCCCGATCAAGACGTAGTCAACGGCTTAAAAGAATGGATTAAAAATCAAGCCAATAAAGACATAGAAACAATCTTCAAACTCGTCGAACTTCATCATGCAAGTAATCCAGAATTCTTATATCTACTTGGATATCTCACCAATTATGGGCTAGGAACAGACGAAAACCCGGTTGCCGCTTTTAAATACTATTACAAAGTGGCTGAAAGAGGATTAAATTACGGACAGGCACGAATAGCTTGGTGTTTCTACAAAGGACTCGGTGTAAAGGTTGATCATGTCAAAGCATTTGAATGGTACCAAAAAGCTGCGGAAAATAATCATCTATGCTCCCAATTTAATCTAGGACTATTTTATAGTCAAGGAATTGGCACTAAGAAAAATCTCGAGATGGGGTTTAAATGGGTTCAGGTTGCAGCGAATCATGGTGACTTACTTGCGCAGTTTGAGCTTGCTAAAATGTATTTAAGTGGTAATGGAACCAAGAAAGATTATCGAAAAGCGAATTATTGGTTGTGGAAGACTGCCGATACTCGTGTTCTTCATCTGAAGGAGGATTGTTTGTTCAATTTGGCTTCAATTTCGGCTAACGGTATGGGTATAAAAAGAGATTTTCATCAGGCACTTCGATTATATCGGCGTGTTCTAATTCTAAACAATGGGTATTCGTGGGGTTTTAAAAGCACGTTGCAATCGTTGTTTGAACCACAAGAATGGATTCTTTAATACTTTTTATTTGTGATTTATCTTATTAATATATATTTGTAACTTTGGGCGAATTTTGGATTCTTGTGGTGGCATTTTTTTTTAATTTCTCGAAGAAACTAGTTATATATTAATTAATATTAGATAAAAAGATTTCTTTGCGGGTTACTGAAAATATAAATCATTTTAATTTTCTAAAAGGACCTTTCTTCATTTCCATTAATATTATAAAGCTACAATCCTAGCAGAGTATAAAGATTAAAGAACCCCTAATTGTTTTTTTTACGACATCTGATTTTTAATAAATACAAGGCTTATCGGGATTTTCGTTTTACTAAATTTTGCACTAAGTCGAATTTATATTAGCGTGGCTTCGTCTTAACGAGTTTGCCTTGTAATATATAATACAATTCAACATATTCTATTTATCACAATATTGTAATTCAAATTTATAAGTTGCAATTAGTTATCGAGAAATCATCTTTAAATTAGCTTCATTATAATGTATCAGTTTGAGTAAATGAAAAATCTTGTATTATATTTTTGAATAATGAAACTTTTAATAATTATCTAAATAATCCAAATAAAATAGAAATGAAATCACAGTAATAATATTTTTTTTTACATAAACTTTTATAAAAAATATAGTAGAGAAAATAAAATAGAAATAATATAAAATTTATATAAAAATTCTTTATTAACCATTTCATATTTTATAAAACTTATTAATAAAAATTAATAAATAAAATTAAAAATAATATTAAAGATTTTATTAAATTATCAATTCGCAGAAATTTTTAGACAAAATTTCAAGTTTCTGGATCAAATCATATAAATATTATTTTTTTGCTAAATAAATCAAATAATATTTATATGATTTGATTCAAAAGATTATAAGATATTAAAGTTTTAAGTCAGAATAATACTCATTAAATCCTATTAAATCTTTTTGTAGAATTTTTTACATATTTTCTGTATAATGCATGTTTTAAATAAGCTAGAAGTTGTCAAACCATATAGAATGTAATAACAGATAGTTTTTTAAAATTTAGAATAAAATATTATATAAAATTTGTTTTTGCATTAAATTATAATAAATAAATATCTAATATATATTAATATAAATTAAAAAACAATCTACTATATAATTTATAAATACTTAGTAAATATATATAACTAAAAATTTATTTATTATTATATTCATATAAATTATTATTATGACAAATTTGATAAGTGAATTTTCACTTGGATTCACTTTAATAATATTGGATTGGAAGAGATTGAATTAATTAAAAGATAAAGAGAGGAGAATTAGACTATACTTTCAATACTGACAAAGATTTCTAAGAACTTTGCCAATATCTATAGATAATATTTTTAAAAAGGACAATTAAATAATAAAAGTAAAATATAAATCAAGAAAATTATAAAGATTAATTAGTAAAGTCACTAGTAATTAATATAATTCAAGACTTAAGTAATTAAATAGTAAAATTATTATTAATTAAAGAAGACTATGATTAAGAAAAGATAAAAACTAAACTAAATAATGAAATAATTAATTAAAAAGAATATAGTTTATTTATAGCAGAGATCTTTTATTCTCAAAATAATAAAACAAATAAAATAAAAGTATAACTTATTTATAATAGAGATCTTCTATTCTCAAAATAATATCAAAAATTAAAAATTAATAGAATATTATAATTCAAATCAAAATCAACTTTATATAATCAAAGGAATAAAATCAAGTAAGAGAAAGAATATTAGTATAGCTAGAAAAAGAAACTTTTAAAAAGATTATTATTATTATAATAATAAGTTTTTTAATCATATTTTCTAATAATTCAATCCAAAGCTATTTATTTCAAGCTGGAATAATAGATTCTTTTATATATTTTTCAGATATATAAATTATTATTATATTACTAGTTAATATTAAAAATAACTTTTTAATTATTATAATATAATAATAAATAAAGTATTATCTAATTATAATTAGTTGTAACTTATAAAATTTTGGAATTATAATATATTATAACAGATAATAAATAAGCATCATATATTTATTATATTATCTTTAGTTAATATTATTTAAATATACATATTATTATTATAAAGAGTTATAATTTATATATTAAAATATTAGTAGTTAAAATATTAATATCTAAAATATCAATATTTTATTAATATTTAAAATATTAATATTAAAAATATTAGTATTTTATTAATACTACAAATATTAATATTTTATTATTTTATTAAAAATTAAAAATAATCTTTGACTATACTATTAAGTATATAAATTATATTATAATATATAAATTAAAAATATAATTCTCAAATAAAGAGAATAAGATATAATATTTAAAAATAAAATATAATTATAAAGAATAAATATAGTAAAAAAATAAACATGTAATAGAAAAATAGAAATAATTATATAATAAATTATGAAATTATAAAAATATAAACTTTTATATAACTAAAGAAAGTTTATGTAATTAAGAACTTTTATAATACTATAGTAGTAATATATTTTATAATTTTAATATAAAAAAAGATTTTATTTTTATTAATTATTAAGTTTTAAAATTCTTATTATAAATAAAATATTTATAAAAAATAATAATAAATAAAAATTTTAAAATTATAAAAAAGATAAAAATTTAAATATATATTATATTTTTTTATAAGAATATAATTAGAAATAAACTTGACTTTTATAAAAATTAATAATATAATTATTATAAAAAAAATTAATATATTTATAATAAGTTTATTTTTAAAAAAATATTTTTATAAATAATTTATAATTATTAATAATATTATTATAGCAAATTGGTAAATGGAGTTTCACTTGAATTCACCCTAATAATATAGAGTTGGGAGAGACTGAAATAATTAAAGGTAATGAAAGGAAAATTAGACTATACTTTCAATAATAACAAAGATTTCTAAGACCTGTGCCAATATCTATGGATATTGTCTTAACAAAAGGTAATAAAATAAATAAAGAAAGAAATAAATCAAAGAAATTATAAAGATTATCTGAGTGAAGCCACTAGTAATCAATATAATTCAAGATTTGAATTGATT